CTCTTGTATCCTACAGCACTTTATCTACTTAGCGCAATTTAGATTTAACTACTGATCAAGCTATTGCTGATTGAATAACCGGATGGTAATCTTTGTCTAAGTAATAATGTACATATAAATTTATAACACAATTCGGAAGGTTTTCTCAGTATTGACTGTGAAATTGCGCGCATTTGACCAGTTATTCCGAATTCCAAACTGCTCTAATTTGGAAGCTATACACTACCGGAAAAACCAAGCCCTAACTCGTGCTCTTCAAAGTGAAAACAGAGGAGTAAGAGTACAAAAAATATGAAGTCTGGGAACATTTAGGATCTAAAAGCGTTCACAGAACCTGGTTATAACACGAAAGACAAGCCCAAAAGAGGGCTGTTTGGAGAGTCATGGTCAGCAGCCGATGCAGCTCTAGAGGTAACAGACCGAGGTAAGTGGTTAAAAGGACCACAGATATTCAGAAGTTGACGGCGCTATCGTCCACACTACCCTTATAAGTCAATGATGTCAAGACAGTGGAGTCATTAAACATAGACGAATGGTTTCGAAGATTTAGAAGGTCGTCGATAAGTTGAGAAGCATTTGGTCTAAGCCGCCTAGTGGTTACAAGCGATGGGTAGCACAGCATGACGACTTGCGATCTGGCGCAGATGTGTGATCGAGCAGCTTCAGCTAGGTTGTGTCCAGCAAAAATGATCAGGTCAGCATCGATGTCAAAAGCTTGCAGAACTATTACTGATGGGAATAATTCACTGCTACATAATCAACTTTTGGCACTTACTCTTATAAGTGATATCTTCAACCGACTCATTGAAAAGATTGCATACATATGGAGGCTTGATTGAGAACCTAAAAATAGGTTCTCTATCTATTGTCTTTAAAAAACAAAGTGATTTCCAAGAAGTCATCACAAAGTGTTTATTATGAACATATTTGTTGTTGCGACGTCGAAACCCTACTAACGTCGCTTTTCTGTTCTATGTGAGAGATGTCACTTATTTAACGTTTCCATCCCCGATAAGTGTCAGCGAATTCAGTCTTCAGACAGAAATTCTACCAATTTACTGAGCTTTCAGACCAGAAAAGTGGTACTATTAGTATGGTTAGGACATAGTGGAATCCTGTAAGTCATTCCAAAGAAAATAACACCCTTCTTAAGCGTGATTTATCGTGGCCTAGAAGTCACTTACTATTGGTTCTTTTGTTAGTTGTTCTTACATGGTTGTGTTTAAATCACGGGTTCAGAGAATAAATAACCTTTATATTGCCAAAAGTCGAAAGTTTGAGTGTGTACGTTACACGTCTCAAAATTTATCACGTTTATCACTACCGCATACAGGTAACCACTTCATACCCCACTTGTCATCTCTGTTTCCCTTTTTATTCTTTTGATTTCGTCTTCTTAAATATTACCAATTAAATGAAACGTCTATTATTTTTTTAAAAATGTCTTTTCTAATGATGTCGTTCAGAAGAACACTGAAAGCTTCACGACTAAACCATCCAGCTCAGAGAACAAAACTCCACCAAAGTGATTTATTATTCTTGATTCCTTCAGATGTACATTCTGCACTATTTGTGTTGTGTTCTAGTTTTTGCTTTTCCTACGTCTTCCCTAAATTTCCATGTTCTTCCCGGACTACATGTAAATTGTCTCAGTTGGTATTTGATTAGGGCCACCGCAATATTGATTCGCTCTCCTTTTTAATTGCATTTTTGAATGCAATGAAGCACTCCTCCAGAAATGGAAACGCTCCGTGTTATAACAATGTTAATTATTATCTTTTGAGCAATGTGAAAGTGGTCTATTCGCAATGGAACAAAATAACGTTCCCGTGTTGATAGGAACATTTACTTGTTTTCCTTAGTAGTTCTCTTGTATCCTACAGCACTTTATCTACTTAGCGCAATTTAGATTTAACTACTGATCAAGCTATTGCTGATTGAATAACCGGATGGTAATCTTTGTCTAAGTAATAATGTACATATAAATTTATAACACAATTCGGAAGGTTTTCTCAGTATTGACTGTGAAATTGCGCGCATTTGACCAGTTATTCCGAATTCCAAACTGCTCTAATTTGGAAGCTATACACTACCGGAAAAACCAAGCCCTAACTCGTGCTCTTCAAAGTGAAAACAGAGGAGTAAGAGTACAAAAAATATGAAGTCTGGGAACATTTAGGATCTAAAAGCGTTCACAGAACCTGGTTATAACACGAAAGACAAGCCCAAAAGAGGGCTGTTTGGAGAGTCATGGTCAGCAGCCGATGCAGCTCTAGAGGTAACAGACCGAGGTAAGTGGTTAAAAGGACCACAGATATTCAGAAGTTGACGGCGCTATCGTCCACACTACCCTTATAAGTCAATGATGTCAAGACAGTGGAGTCATTAAACATAGACGAATGGTTTCGAAGATTTAGAAGGTCGTCGATAAGTTGAGAAGCATTTGGTCTAAGCCGCCTAGTGGTTACAAGCGATGGGTAGCACAGCATGACGACTTGCGATCTGGCGCAGATGTGTGATCGAGCAGCTTCAGCTAGGTTGTGTCCAGCAAAAATGATCAGGTCAGCATCGATGTCAAAAGCTTGCAGAACTATTACTGATGGGAATAATTCACTGCTACATAATCAACTTTTGGCACTTACTCTTATAAGTGATATCTTCAACCGACTCATTGAAAAGATTGCATACATATGGAGGCTTGATTGAGAACCTAAAAATAGGTTCTCTATCTATTGTCTTTAAAAAACAAAGTGATTTCCAAGAAGTCATCACAAAGTGTTTATTATGAACATATTTGTTGTTGCGACGTCGAAACCCTACTAACGTCGCTTTTCTGTTCTATGTGAGAGATGTCACTTATTTAACGTTTCCATCCCCGATAAGTGTCAGCGAATTCAGTCTTCAGACAGAAATTCTACCAATTTACTGAGCTTTCAGACCAGAAAAGTGGTACTATTAGTATGGTTAGGACATAGTGGAATCCTGTAAGTCATTCCAAAGAAAATAACACCCTTCTTAAGCGTGATTTATCGTGGCCTAGAAGTCACTTACTATTGGTTCTTTTGTTAGTTGTTCTTACATGGTTGTGTTTAAATCACGGGTTCAGAGAATAAATAACCTTTATATTGCCAAAAGTCGAAAGTTTGAGTGTGTACGTTACACGTCTCAAAATTTATCACGTTTATCACTACCGCATACAGGTAACCACTTCATACCCCACTTGTCATCTCTGTTTCCCTTTTTATTCTTTTGATTTCGTCTTCTTAAATATTACCAATTAAATGAAACGTCTATTATTTTTTTAAAATGTCTTTTCTAATGATGTCGTTCAGAAGAACACTGAAAGCTTCACGACTAAACCATCCAGCTCAGAGAACAAAACTCCACCAAAGTGATTTATTATTCTTGATTCCTTCAGATGTACATTCTGCACTATTTGTGTTGTGTTCTAGTTTTTGCTTTTCCTACGTCTTCCCTAAATTTCCATGTTCTTCCCGGACTACATGTAAATTGTCTCAGTTGGTATTTGATTAGGGCCACCGCAATATTGATTCGCTCTCCTTTTTAATTGCATTTTTGAATGCAATGAAGCACTCCTCCAGAAATGGAAACGCTCCGTGTTATAACAATGTTAATTATTATCTTTTGAGCAATGTGAAAGTGGTCTATTCGCAATGGAACAAAATAACGTTCCCGTGTTGATAGGAACATTTACTTGTTTTCCTTAGTAGTTCTCTTGTATCCTACAGCACTTTATCTACTTAGCGCAATTTAGATTTAACTACTGATCAAGCTATTGCTGATTGAATAACCGGATGGTAATCTTTGTCTAAGTAATAATGTACATATAAATTTATAACACAATTCGGAAGGTTTTCTCAGTATTGACTGTGAAATTGCGCGCATTTGACCAGTTATTCCGAATTCCAAACTGCTCTAATTTGGAAGCTATACACTACCGGAAAAACCAAGCCCTAACTCGTGCTCTTCAAAGTGAAAACAGAGGAGTAAGAGTACAAAAAATATGAAGTCTGGGAACATTTAGGATCTAAAAGCGTTCACAGAACCTGGTTATAACACGAAAGACAAGCCCAAAAGAGGGCTGTTTGGAGAGTCATGGTCAGCAGCCGATGCAGCTCTAGAGGTAACAGACCGAGGTAAGTGGTTAAAAGGACCACAGATATTCAGAAGTTGACGGCGCTATCGTCCACACTACCCTTATAAGTCAATGATGTCAAGACAGTGGAGTCATTAAACATAGACGAATGGTTTCGAAGATTTAGAAGGTCGTCGATAAGTTGAGAAGCATTTGGTCTAAGCCGCCTAGTGGTTACAAGCGATGGGTAGCACAGCATGACGACTTGCGATCTGGCGCAGATGTGTGATCGAGCAGCTTCAGCTAGGTTGTGTCCAGCAAAAATGATCAGGTCAGCATCGATGTCAAAAGCTTGCAGAACTATTACTGATGGGAATAATTCACTGCTACATAATCAACTTTTGGCACTTACTCTTATAAGTGATATCTTCAACCGACTCATTGAAAAGATTGCATACATATGGAGGCTTGATTGAGAACCTAAAAATAGGTTCTCTATCTATTGTCTTTAAAAAACAAAGTGATTTCCAAGAAGTCATCACAAAGTGTTTATTATGAACATATTTGTTGTTGCGACGTCGAAACCCTACTAACGTCGCTTTTCTGTTCTATGTGAGAGATGTCACTTATTTAACGTTTCCATCCCCGATAAGTGTCAGCGAATTCAGTCTTCAGACAGAAATTCTACCAATTTACTGAGCTTTCAGACCAGAAAAGTGGTACTATTAGTATGGTTAGGACATAGTGGAATCCTGTAAGTCATTCCAAAGAAAATAACACCCTTCTTAAGCGTGATTTATCGTGGCCTAGAAGTCACTTACTATTGGTTCTTTTGTTAGTTGTTCTTACATGGTTGTGTTTAAATCACGGGTTCAGAGAATAAATAACCTTTATATTGCCAAAAGTCGAATGTTTGAGTTTGTACGTTACAGTTGTTGGGTAGGTTCTTTCCTTTTAAGTTATATGTTTTCTAGAGAAGTAACCTACAAGAAGTTATGAAGCGTCGTAAATCTAGTATGACGTTCATTTTCGCACTGAAAGTTATGATAAATAATCCGCGACAAATAAAGAAATTTATCTCCCTAACTTTTGTGTTTTGCAAGGTTCTTGCCTTATCGGTTTTTAATTTAATTTGACACGAGTGTGTGTAAGCAGTTTACATATGCGAGCCTAACTTGTCAGTATTAGTTCGTTGTTTATTTTTCCAATAGTGATGGTTACTAGCATGCCACTGTGGGCTCTGTTTTCTGTATCAAAGTGGTAGTCACTGTGTAACTACGCTTCCCAGTTGATGATAAATCTTAAAATATTTATTTGGCCAATCAAAATCCGCTCATGCATAAAATATGGCTGTGGGATACGTTAATGTATGCTTTAGAGCTTTCGCTACCAGCTCAGAACTATTCAGCTTATAGCGCACGCACATGTTTGGGAACCAAATTCTCCGTTGGTCGGTCAGTTTTGTGATGAATGACGAAAATGGGAGCCAGATTCAAGTATATTGTTTTATACCTGTCCCAACCTTGGTTCTCTTTCATGTTCGGTTTTGGTTTCTGCATATTTACATTTTATTACTAGGAATCTTAAATTCACTTTTATTCGGTATTGATTTCCTTTTCTGTGAGTTTTATTTGGGGACTACATACCACTAAAATTATTATTCTTGAGTATATGTATCAATGATGGAGGCTTTAAGGTTTTAGTGAGTAAGACCCGTCGTGCTTAACATTGTGGTGAAAACTTAACCGATCATATAGGATGCAAGTCTATGGGCGTGTACTATACTAAAGTAAATACTATCAGTAAAAATCAAGGTTGAAAGTAACTCGAAATAGAGTGAACGAATTACTAAGTTCCGAATCTAATGATATCCCTTAACAAATGAATCTCAGTTTTCAATCCTACCTCATTTAAAGAGTGTCGAATTGATATAATCGTAGTCGATTTGATTCATTTCCATACAAAAGTCTACCTCACGGCTGAGTCGTAAATTTCTCCCTTGTAATATACGAATGTTGATCTGAGTTAGTTATTCTGTACAGTGATCCATCACACCTGTCCAGTTAAAATTTTATTTTTTTGTCGGTTTCAATAGATTTCGAGGAAAACAAGTACCTGATTGAGATTCATAACTCAAAATCATGTTTCCTACTTTAGGATTTCTAAACTACGCCATTTTGTTAGAATCAATAGGAATCACTAAGTCGCTTTATATCTTTCTTTGTTGTTCGACTTTGTTTATTGTATTGGATTTGTTCTTCTTAGGTGTCAATGTTGTAACCTCACGTGAAAAAAAAACGAAATACCCAATAGCCTAATAATTTTAATTCTTTCAGTTATCCAGTAGTTCAAGTGGAACCATGCTTGATCGTCTCCACTCTTATGGTAGAAACAAACTTTACTTCTTAAGACTTCGTCGATTCTGCCAGTTTATTTTAAATCTCGGCAGGGATGGATTTTATGACAGCTGGCTGGGAAAGGAATCTTACTGCACTCTGAACACATCTGGTAAGTTCCTAGAAGTTTTGGTTCAATATAAATTTACACATAACCACAGTTTTCTAAAAGGTGTCAATTATGGATTAACTACATTCTTTAAATTATCAGTTCATCGGTCAGTGATTCCTCGTAGTGGTGCCCAACAGACCATAAGGGATTTGATTATTATTCTCGACTTGTAGCTTTATTTCATAATCATTAAAACCACATGCATTCATTTCGTTACACTCGTTTTTAACTTAATCCTGTCGATACTTTTGTGAGGTCATCTAATAGATATGCAAATATGAGTCTTGTGTTCACTTTTTAGATTCTGATATAGCCTCGACTAATGCTTCGTTTGTCTTCTGTTTTGCAGTAAAATTTATCCTCATTTGTGTTCACTTTCCACCGTCTCATTTTAGAGGATTTTAGACTGCTATATTCCGAGAAAGCTCGCGTTATTTGTGCTATGTGGTACTTTTTGTCGAGGCACAAGTTTAAAGAGGCTGCTAGATTACTAGCTCACTCAATCCATGCATATCCAATGTCATCGACCTGGATATGGCGGGTTAGTTTCCTACTTTTACCGCTTATTTGTTTAGGTGGCATTCCATATATTCCAGTGTTTGAAAGATGATGTTGGGTTGAGATCATTTAGTAGGTAAGTGGACTTTCGTGAAATCCGTTTTATTTTAAAAGTATTATGCTTTATCTGCATTTTGGTGTCCTTACCTATACAATAAGTTATCAGTGAACGCTTAACCTCTAAACTTGGAGCTGAGTTACGTCTTGATACTATCCTGTCTGTTTCGTACACGTACATTCTGAAACAAATGGGCACTAAAATAAATAGGCCACACAATAAGGAAATATAGTTGTGAAGTAATAAAAGAACGAAAGGAATTGTAGTCAAGACGAAACGGTTCAGTCAGAAAAATGTCTTGACTGCAGCTATCACCTTAACATGGTCGTCAGGCTTGCCTATTGGGATGACTTAATCAAGCTATATTAGCTAAAACACACTCTTTTGAGTTCTACCATGCCAGACAGTTCGGTTGGCGAAACGTTATTCCAGAAGTAGCAACTCACTGTCTTATGGCGAAATCTTATTGATTACTAGACATGGATGTAACAGCAGTAAGGGGTTTTCCTCAGATAGCATCTACAACATTGCTGCGTTCATACAACGGAAGGCGTTAGAATAGGTCCGCTCGAGAAATAGTACACCCACGAATTTTCGTCTGAGACAGCAAGGTCTTTTAAATATGTATTTTATTTATTTTATTTGAACACATGGATATTGGTACAAGAGAGCGCCAATATATATGCGCCACACAAAACAATGAGAATTTAGGAAGGAGAAAAAGAAAAAAGTGGGGAACGTAAAAAGAAGATATAAAAAATAATAATAACGAAGAGATTGGTGTAAGGTAATGTAATAATAATAGTAATAGTAGGGGAACAGAAGGGTACAATCAAAAGAAATCTTTCAGTTAAGGAAGATACAACCACGTTTTATGAATAAAGTAAAAGAAGGTTACAGCGGGATCGCCACTGGCTTCTATTCTGAGCCATATCTGATAACATCTCTAGCCACTGTGTTGTACCATCTCTCAGACCCCAACCAGGGAGTCGTGAAGGACCGACAGAAGCCAGTCCTTTGCAGCTTTCTTTCATGCCACGACACCATGTCATGCACTGACCACGTTTCTGCTTCTTCCAATCACTCCCAGAGTCGGCAAATAATGCACGACGTGGAATTCTCTGGGACGACATTCGTAGAACATGTCCAAGCCACCGAAGTCGGTGTTTCAAGAGGGTGACACCAATTGAATTATCATCTCTGTGCCCGAACACACGATGCCGAACCTCTGCATTACTGACATGGTGTTGCCACTGGATGTTAGCAATCCTTCGGAGACAACGATGATCGAACACAGAGAGTCGTCTAACGTCCTCAACTCGGAGAGGCCAGGTTTCACAAGCATAGAGAAAAACTGCTCTCACCGACGCGTTGTAGATTCGACCTTTTATAGCCAGACTAACGTGACAAGGGCGCGAAAGATGGCCCAGATTGGCATAAGCCGCTCTGGCTTTGACTATACATGCATTAATCTCATCACTCACACCTCCACCAGCACTTATGCAGCTACCCAGATACACGAACTTCTCGACTACGTCTATCTGCTCACCATCCAGGGTGAGTACAGGATTAGGATCCTGTCAGTCTTGTAGAAGTACTTTGCACTTCGAAGGTGCAAAGCACATACCATACCTACGGACACTGATTGCCAACTGATTAAGTGCGGATTGCATACCTTGGGCATTATCGCACAGTAAGACTATATCGTCCGCATACTCAAGGTCGCGAAGTCTTTCTCCAGGCAACAGATCCACACCACCATTACTTACATTCATGAGAGCTGTTTCCAGAATGTCATCGATGGCAAAGTTGAAGAGGAATGGTGAGATTGGGCAACCCTGCCTAACCCCACTGCTCGAATGGAACAATGGAGAAAGGTGGTTGTATGCCCTCACTCTGCCTGAGGTGTTTTTATATAGGGCTTTTAGGATGTTGATAAACTTCTCAGGCACACCCTTCTTCAATAGACAATCCCAGAGAACAGTCCTGTCCAACGAATCGAAGGCAGCCCTGATGTCAAGAAACACTACGATTGTTGGCCTTTGAAAAGTATGGCGGTGTTCTAACATTTGGCGGAGGGTGAAGATATGATCAATACATCCTCGACCAGAACGAAACCCAGCCTGCTCCTCGCGAGTCAATCTTTCTTGTGTTTTGAACAACCTATGAAGTATGACAGAAGCCAATAGCTTGGACGCAATCGGAAGTAGACTTATCCCCCGATACTTGTTACAGGAACGACGTGAATCCTTTTTAAAGATAGGGACAACTATCGACTCATTCCATGGCGTTGATACACTCTTTAACTCCCAAACATTTGTAAAAACGTCGTCAATTTCTTAGTCAGAAAGTCACCACCATCTTTAAAAAGAGCCGGAGGTAAGTCATCTGGGCCAGGTGATTTGTAACGCTTCAAGAGTTGGAGTTCCTTGCGGACTTCCTCCTCGTTCGGTGGATCAGTCGTCACCGGCCATGGAGGGCAGGACAGTCTGACCGATGTTGCCGGAGCAGCAGGCCAGTTGAACTGCCCTTCGAGAAATTCTGCCCATCGTCCAAGACGTCGATGGATGTTAGTGATTGGCATCCCGTCATCCTCACAGATTGTTTCGCTGACACCAGACTTCTTGCTGCCAGTGGCTCGGATGAGTTGGAAGAGCTTCCGGTCATTACCAGATGCAGCTGCTGCTTCCAGCTCATTAGCACGCTTCGACCACCAGGCTTCTCGGTCCTTACGCAAGCTTTGCCCAATTTCCTTACGTAACACCCTTCGTTCGTGGTCAAACTCACGGTCACCCGGAGTAGACCGACGGGCTTCGATGGGTTGTAAGGAGCCTGAAGAAACCCAGTGCTTATAAGCGGAACGTTTCGCGAACCCACAACTGCCTGTACCCGCCATTTTCATGGCGTCATGCAATTGCAACCAACGCTCATCTATACTTTTCGGTGGTATGGTAGCTAGCCTAGAGGCTAGCTCGGTTCGATACTTACTTGCAACAGAAGTTGCAACCAGCTTGCTAACATCAATCCGTTGATGGCGGTCACTTCGTTGTCCACTGAAAAGTAAGGCAAGATTGGCGCAGACCAAGGCATGGTCAGAGTCCAGATAGGTACTCCAAAAGGAGAGGCAGTCTTGTACACAACCACGCCAGCGGTAGCTGATCGCGATGTGATCAATCTGAGTCCAGGCTTGAGATGCAGAGGGAGGACGCCAGGTGGCACATCGGCGATGACTGTGCCGAAAGTTAGTGCTAGCCAGAAACAGGTTGTGGTCTGTGCAAAGTTGCAGTAGACGGTCCCCGTTATCTGACCTGCGACCAACGAGTGCCCATTGGCCACCTAAGCGACTCTCTTCTGTGCCTAGACGCCCGACCTGAGCATTCAAGTCTCCGGCTAGTACTACAATATCTGTCGAACGCACTTTCTGGAGAAGAACAGATAACTGGTGGTAAAACTCATCCTTGATTGCATCCGGGCTGCAATCTGTCGGGGCATAGGCGGAGATGACGAAAAGACATCGTTTCTAACGCCGATTTCTTCTCACTTTGATGGAACTTTCTAATCTAACAGCACATAACCGACTGTGAATGGGGATCCAATCGACTAGTGCTGCTTCAGCTCTAGCGCTTAGTGCGGCACCAACGCTAGCAAGACCATGACGAAGATGCCACAGGGTCCCCGGATAAGCGCACGTAAAACAAGCTTTTCGAAGTGACAGATGTAGAGCGAATTTGTAGTACTTCACCAGAGTCTTGAATACGGGTCTCGGATAGAGAGCAGACATCGATATTAAGACTTTCCAAAGACATAGCCAGCCCTATCTGTTGTCCGACCTGCATAAGTGTGCGAACGTTGAAGGCAGCCAGTTTGAATGGTGCACGTGGTTTCAGAAAAACTGCTTCAGTACTCATATTCGGTGGTAATATACAATTCTCAACCGGACAGTGACTCGAGAACGTTTAGATACAGTCGAATTTCCACCAAAGACGAGCCGCTGTATAAGTATAAAAGAGGGTGAATAATGTGGAAAATAATAATAATAATAATAATAATAATAATAATAATAATAATAATAATAATAATAATAATAATGACAATAATAGTAATAATAATAATAGTATTAACAATGACAATAATTGTAATGATAATTTGAATCGATTGATTGTTTTTCGAAGCGAGAAAAGTAATTTCCATAAACATATAGAGTTCATCATTTGTGTGTGGGCTGTGATACTGCCCGGGTGCCCAAACCGAAGCAGGTGGTTTTCTTAGGGGGCCACTCCCCGAGCCTTTGACCTAAAGGTCTAACCCACAAGGCAGTGGAGCATCGTAAGGAGATGCAGTCCCATGGTAGCCGGTGACCAACGATTGGTTCATACGCCATTTGTTCCCGCAGGATACTGGAGCCCATGTGCACCATTGGTTTGGGATCGGGTTAAAGCGCCTGACATTCGCTTTTTGTCCTCTCATTTTCGTAAACAAGACCCCCGCCACGAGATGGCAATGAGTAGGACTTCCCTGACAGAGGCTGGATATGCGCGGCCGTGTGAGAGTATTTCGAGAGGGAGAGCGGACTCTCCCCACTCTCGGCCGTACCAGGGCATTCGGGGCAAACCTTTAGGTTAACAGCCGAACGCGCTAACCGGTTGCGCCACGGAGGCGACCAATACATTTAAAACTTCCGGTATAAAGTTCATGTGTAACCTGAGTCAATCAGTTATTATTTTGGCTCTGGGGTTACGCCCCCAGGTTATTCATGACCATCCTTAACACAGTTTCTTTTTTAAGTCCACGAAGAAAATATATCCTTCTACAGTGTAAACTATCGGGAAGTGACAACCGTCTCCATACCTCTAACAGCATCAGAGACTATTTTGTTCATGGTCCAATCCCTCTCTCACCTCTTAGTGCTTCGCCTGCCTCCACGATTAACTCTCCTCGTATGGCTATCACTGTATTCCACCAATGCTAAGATCCGAGTCCACGAAGTGTTATTCTTTGTTTCATGAAACCATGCTCTTAACTAAATGTTGGAGCTTTCAGTGTTCAGATGCTATACTAGATATATTAACTTATCTTGGAAGTCTAATCAGCCCCAATGGGTTTGTGTCTGACGAAATCTCAGCACGGATTCGAAAAGCTCGTTTGGCTTTTGCCAACTTACATCACCTATGACGAAGGCGAGATATCCGTCTATCAATAAAAGGACGAGTATACTGCGCGGCAGTCCGTTCTGTTTTACTTTACGGCTGCGAAACATGGCCATTAAGAGTTGAAGATACTCGTAAGCTACTAGTATTTGACCACAGATGCCTTAGAAATATTTCTGGCATCTGCTGGGATCACCAAGTAAGTAATAGTGAGATTAGACGCAGAGTATTAGGGAATGATGGTAAATCGATTGATGAGGTTGTGAATCTTCATCGACTGAGGTGGTTGGGCCACGTGTTGCGTATGCCTGAACCCCGATTACAACGACGCGCAAAGCTGAATAGTGTAGGGGATGGTTGGAAGAAAGTTAAGGGCGGCCAAATCAAAACGTGGCATCAGTGCTTGTGGTCACTAACTTCTGATCTGAGCCATGTTGGTGGATGCAGACTACTTGGTTGGGGTCCGCGTGACGATCATAACCAATGGTTGGAGACTGTGTGACACGGCTCAGAATCGATCACAATGGCGTCGGTGTATACACTCTTTGTCTTCCCTTAAACTGTGAGATTAAAATCGCTTCATATTTTTCTTTCTACCAGCCAATTCTTTCTTCCTGTACTATAACCTTATATGCAATCTTTCTTCTATAATATTATCACCACCGAATTAACTACTTCTATGAATCCGGTGTTCAGCTTGCTGTGCTAATGCGGTGTGGCAACTTGGACCGATACATATATTTACCTGGTCCTACGTTGTAGCTGACTGACTGGGAACTACTTTTTAAGTTAAAATACTCTTATATTCTCATGCACTGTCCGTACTTGGGACCGAAAATGGTAGCCTGTAAATAATTGACGTTATAGGTTCTATCTCCGAAGTAATCTATCATGAGGTAGACGTCTACAATCTTCTTACTGCGAGCATATTACACTCTCATATTAACACTTTGACTATCTATCCTTGTAAAACTGGTAACCCCATGTGAGTTCACAAGTTGTCTATCGTGTTTAATGTAATGACACTACCCCATGATAGGTCAAATGAATGTCCAAACCTGTAACCCAAGTATTGAAAGTTGAGTAACTAAACGAACAAATCAGCTCTACTAGTAGTTAACTGTTATATCTTCAGAAATATCAGGTTCTTGTATTGTATTGGAGTCCGTGAAACCAGGCCGTTATAATAAGAGCAGTAGTATTGTGGATGTGAAGCTAAGTGTAAGGTTCAGGATTAATTGACGGTAACTTGAGAAAGGTAAAATAGACAACAATAGTTTATACAACAAACAAATGGTTACAATTAAGAGCACACAATGACTCAATAATCCAGATGTTATACAATTAAGATATAGTTCTTCATAAGATTGTTTCTCAGATCGCAACTTTCTCGATATTTATCGCGTTATAATAGTGAGAGATTATTTTTCAGTGATATAACTATGGTTTCAAGTTAAACCATATAAAAGCGTTGCATGCACAACATTTCAAACATTATGTAAGGTAGGTGACTTGAGGATTTTTTTCGTCTAAAGACTTCTAGGACTATCTTGAGGAAAGCAAGGTTTGTAATGCATTTATATAAAACAATTGTCCCTTTTTTATGTAGTATATATGTGGTTGGTACCGACTAAGGATACGCCTAATGAGAACTATCATATACTGTAAAATCTCAGTATTTTTACGTCGTAAGACGGTGTTTTTTACAACCCAGTCTTAACAGGTTGGATTCCAAAGATTTTCTGAACTTATTATGAATGGCTTTCGTCTTAAAAATTTGTTTAGGCGTTACCCACAGTGTTACAAGTTTGTGTTACACTATACAGTATACATTGAACTTAAACAAAATCAATTTATTTCCTGTAGATATGTCTTGTAATGATTTTTAATTTTGCTTTTTCAGGGTTTTGGATGGGTTTCTTCTGAGTGATGAAAATAACCGTATATTAGAGTTTATATTATATGAGATCAGCAAAGGAAACTTGAATGCTGTACAGTTTTGTCGCACAAATATACAGGTACGTTGAATCCCTATCCTGGTTATTTTTTGCAAGTTACAATCTTATTCTACAACTCAGAATATGGTTACTCCAGTGGAATTATCCTCTCAAATTGTTGATGGAGATTATTATGGTGACCATTGATCATTATTAATAAAAATTCATGGGAGATGAAAAAGATTTTTACGAAACCACACCTATTTTCTTGTTAGTTTTTATTTACTATCCTATATGTGAACTTGAATCGATACATTATTATTACTAACTTCGAGTTATTTCTATTTATCTTTGGGATTGTTACCACCGACAATCTTACTGTTTAATATGCTTCAAGTGAAAGCTCTTACGAACTCTTAGGAAATGATTTAAAAATACAACCCATTGTTTCCGTCTGTTATGTTTACTGGAATTTTGACAAGTTAAATTCATTTTCAAGAATCTCGATTCGTCAGTTGCACTTTTTGCTGCGTGTATTTTTACCATTTACTCACTAATTTATGAAGTCTTCTCTGATATATCATTCCAATCTTTTTTGCTCGTTTTGTGGATGTTTTCTATTCATACATTGGCAAGACGCTCATAAATCATACCTAATATAGAGGGATCTTAGAACTGCCAGCTACCTGCTCACTTTAGTCCAAATAGAATTCTATTTTCCTACCAACTCTATCCATATTTATTGGTTCTTGTTGCTATTCTATCACCCCAACAATTTCCTCAACATTTACATAGTGTTTGTGTTGAGATATCGAGTTTGCTACAAATCACCCCCTTTTTGATTTAGTTCTACAAACCGTACATTTAAACATTCAAAACTACAGTTTCAAATGGAAGAATAAACTTCTTAATCTAGAAAATATGAACTAGATCTACATATAAAGGTCGTGTTTTATAGACACAATCTTAATGATATTAGACATTTGATTTCAGACAACTAGTGTGGTAATTCTAAGCTTCACTTTGAACGCCTAGCAACCACTCGATTGGATAGTAAAAACCCCATTCACAATAATAAGCTTGGTGACCACTGATGGTGTAATGAACGAAGATTTGATTAGAGGAAACCAACTTTGTATTTGTAAAGTATGGAAATAATACATTTAACACACCATTTAGACATCTTCCTTGAATTGTCTCTTACACACCATCGTTCATCCAATCCTGTTGCTTCTCCAACTGCTTCTGTTTTTCTTACTCTTCTCACTTTCCTCTTCTGTTAGTAATAATCCTACTGCCGATTGCTGATACATATTACGTATGTGTCCGCATAAGTATCACATAAGACAATGGTAACTTGGTGATGTATGAAAATAAATTTATATGTCAGTTACTCCTGAAGATGATTAGCGGAAATTTGTCCCTGTTTATAAAACCCTTTTTGGACTCAGCTCCTGCCTCAGTCAATCACAATCGACATAAAGACCAGACTGGACGATTTTTAATGAATGAATTCCACTACTGAAATCACTTCCAGCTTCTCTGCACTTTTTATTAATGTGTACTCCTATAAAGGTCATATAGTTTTCAATCAAACGATCGAATCACATGATTTCCACAAAGAACTCAAACTACGTCAGCAACGACTATTGTCTATTTTCAATACATTTTCTCGATTTGTTTTCACTATTCACTAACCCAAAAACTCGTATTTCATTCGAATTTGAGTTGCCTTCAGTCTCTAGACTGGCTTTAACCCAAGTCTCCCATACCACATCGACCAAACGAGACGAAACTGGTAGTTATGTCGATGATAACCAAAAATATTAAACATTGGAGAGTATGGTTTTAAAAAAGGGATGAATTCGATAAATAAAAGATTTGAAATTAAGTTTCAGTCCAAGGCTTAGGAAAATACAATGAGTGAATGCATCGGTGCCACTGTACTTCGATTTTGCGTGTGTGAATATGCTTCTGGATAAATACATACACATCCCCTGAAGTTTACTTTTGATTGATTTAGAGACGAGAATTTTAAAAACCAATTTGAGAAGAAAATAGTTAACTTTTATGGGAAGTTGACATTTACCAAGTGGCGTATAATCAAAATTTGGTAACAACTAGTAATTTTCGGGAGTTTTTTTTAGTTTTGTTGTCAATGCCTGTAGCCGAAATAAGGACCAAAGGCAACTCAAATCCGAATGAAATACGAGTTTTTGGGTTAGTGAATAGTGAAAACAAATCGAGAAAATGTATTGAAAATAGACAATAGTCGTTGCTGACGTAGTTTGAGTTCTTTGTGGAAATCATGTGATTCGATCGTTTGATTGAAAACTATATGACCTTTATAGGAGTACACATTAATAAAAAGTGCAGAGAAGCTGGAAGTGATTTCAGTAGTGGAATTCATTCACAACAAATCGTCCATTATATTTAATGTACCGGGATATATCTATCTTCCATCATTGGCCAATCACTTTTATGGGATGTGTTATCGGTAAAGCCAATTAATAAATGTTTAGCGAAATAATTATGTCAGTAATGCATTTTATGAGCAACAGGTTGCAACAATTGACATAACATTTCAGAGGATATGACAACTGCTCTTCAGCCGCTTTACTTTCAACCACTATCCAGCTATAATCAGAATGAGACAATGAAATCGTTTATATATTTTTTACTGCAGTTCATTATTCTATAGCAAGCTGAAAATGAATTAAATGGAAAGTTCTTAAAGATTCATTTCTTAAATGTTTGACAAACAAACGGAGCATGGGCTGACCTTTAGATATTTAACAATATATTTTCAGTGGTCTTGACAGCTTATGATCTTAGTAAACAAAAATAGAGCGAAAATAGTTTCCGAGTAATCACAACAGAATAATTTTGACTAACATAGTTCTTAAATTTCCAGAGTTCTAACCCCTAATTAAAGCTTGGAAAGGGCAAACTCTTTGATTTCAACTTCCTAAAATTGTTCTCTCACTTGTTTCTGGAATCTCATCAGCAACAGAACATCGAAGTGTGGAACTTAATTCAGTTGTTTTCCTGGTTTTGACAAGATATCCGAACCCCTATTAAAAAACAGGCATACTGTTAAACAGTCCTCTCTTTTCCTGGATAACCATATGGCTATGGTCAAACATTTAAAAGATATATCAACTAACAAAAAATTAGCTTGCAATTAACCAAATAAAAATAGGAAATTATACGATAAAAAATTAGTCATTCACGAGTGAAACTGCTTTCCTAAACGAATATTTCAGTATAAACAATATATTGCTAAAAGTACTTGTTATTCCCTTTTTTGTTACAGCCTGTTCAACGAAATAAATATGCAAGTCTTCATACAGTTTTGACTAGAGAGCCAGAATTTGCACATGTTCAGCGATTACAAAGACTCTATGAAGGTTACAGCTTTTATGGAATGTGGCTTAAACAAATTAATTCATTAGTATCAGCTAGTAAGTTCTGAAACACTATCTATCGTCCGTTTAGAAGAACCATTAAGACCAAAAAATACCTGTCTCCCAATAAATATTTGAAAGCCAAATTTTGTCAGGTTTACTCAACCTTTTAAATTTTTTGCTAACGAATGACTGTTAGTTTTCTTTCCTGTTCAATTTTTAAGCGAAAAAAATACTGTGCAGTACGATTGACAACTCTGATTTAAGACGGAATAATATTTCCGACCACAATTTTTATAAAATTTTAAATGTGCTGTAACTGTAACCCAGGTAGATTAAGTATCTGTGTAAAATATATGACACATTCCATTGCACTGAATTTTAGGTATAACCGTCTTCTTCATCACGAAGTTGACCATTTCCAATCCATTATAACCGTATAATTTAATCTAACTTCGTTACTTTTGATCTTATTTTTAGGTGATCCCGATGATATTCATATGACAGCCGATAATTTAGCTGAGAAAGCTTACCATCGATTACAGGAAGTTGAAGCTCTCGTTTCTGAGGGTCATTTATGCGACACCTTTGTCAGAGCATTTGTTGAAGTAATTTTCCTCTTATTGTCTTATATTTAAATGAATATATCTCAGTTCATATTTCAATAGTTTTGAATAACCATTTATCAGTCAATATTTCCATCTAATCCTCATTGTCTTCAATTCATATCTAATATGAACTAATTTACTATTGCTTGTTTAATTCCTTTTGCACTCGTAGATACTGCAATATTTTAATGAATGTACACGTGCACATGCCTTACTACTTAGTTATGCTCAAAAAGTTCCTGAAAACCCAAACACCTTAAGATATCTATGCGAATGGCATAAACGTCAACCTGTACCAATTACTCATTCATCAGCAGTTTTGTCTCCATCTCATCCAATAACCAAAAACTGTCATGATTCCTCAGCATGTAGTTTAGATCTAAGTGACGGTAATACAACTGTTGATGAAACTACACAATCGCATACGTCCCATCAGAAGAAATCGCCCAAAAGTTTGAAGAATTCAAAAATTTATTTAGAATATCGTATATCATTTAGCAGGCGTACATTACCTGAACCAGCTCCGAACCTGCCTGATAATTATGAATCTATGTCGAAAAAAGAAGTAAAAAGTTTATTAAGGAGAAGTCATAGCCATTTACCAACTATAATTTCTTGTTTAAAACGTGGTAAGTCGATCAAATATCTGTTCCTTCTCTGTGATATTATTCAAGATATTTTCCTAGCAACTTACAATGCTTATATAATAATATAAATTTTTATTCGTATTCAAAATAGAATCTGTGAAATTCCATAAGATGTTAAAATAGTTCTCGGAATACTTCGAGACGATATATGTGGTTGACGGCGTATTGGTTTTTTGCTTCCTCTAGATCACCTTGAACGTAAGTCGTATGACCGTAGAAACTTAAATCACAAGTTTAGGAAAAATCAATGGACTTCAGCTCCGTCTACAAACCTGACAGATGCTTGGAAACTCATTACATCTGGTTCTGAACATGATTTGGAGCGAAGGCACCTTAGACTTAAGTTTATAAAAAGCCTACCTAATGATCGTGAGTAGTGGTGGGTAGCAAAAGCGGAAGAGATGAAAAAGACAGCGGTGGGTAACAGTAGAATACTATCCAGACTTATCAAAGAAACGTGTATTAAAGATCCGGCAGGACTATTATCAACTCTCGATCCAGGAGATTGAACCGATTGGCAAAACACTAGGGGAATGGCCTTTAGCGGTAATTCAGTAACCTGCTATCTCCAAGTAACCTGAAGGCAAACTGATGTAAGTGCTTGAAATCTTAATGAGGTTGATAAGGTTATTGGTAATCTAAGTGATGGATAGCACCAGGGCCTAATTGACTAACACCCGAGATTTTTAAGGTTGGTGGTCCAGTTTTAGCAGTTCCACTAATTGAAATCTTAGTTAAAATCTGGTAACTGGATGTAATCCCATCTAACTGGTTTCAATCACCGATCGTCCCAGTTTATAAGAAAGGACAAAAATTCTCTTGTAACAATCTCAGAGGAACCAGTTTAATATAGTATCTAAAATATTAGTGTCATTTGTGGTGTAGGTGAGATATGCGTCTTCTGACCAAACAGAGTTCTCCCCTTCTACTTCATGGATGTAAAACATGGCTATTAATAGTGGAGGATATTCGTACGTTATTGGTATTCTGTTATAGGTTTCGACGAGGCACTGCTCTTGTATTTTGAGAGTATAGTAAACAATGCTTGGGTTAGTAATAGAGTATAAGGCAAAGAAGGTAGGTCGATTGGTAAGGTAGTAAATCTTCATCAACCGAGATGGTTGGGAGATGTGTTACATATCTTCAACCACCGCCTACCTCGATGTGCGTTGTTTTCTGGTTTAGGAGTAGACTGACCGGACTAGTCAAAAAATGGCATCAGACCATGTAGACACTGGAAATCGGACTTACCCAAGTTATTAGGTGTAGACCACCTGGTTGGGGTGCGCGTGATTATCGTAGCCAATGGTTAGAGGTTTTTAATGACATAAATCAAAATCGTTTGCAATGGCCCATGTGCATCAATTCTTTGTCTTCCCCCAAATTCTGAGATTCTAAATCCCTCATAACTGTTTCGTTAATTTCTATTTTATTTCCGAGTTATATCGTCTATCTTCTTTCTTATTACCACTAATACTGTTACCACCTCTACGATTCTGGGATTTGGTGTGACAACCTTTGAATTGTAGTCTAGCCATTTAATTAGCGTATTTTATACAGCAAATGTGCCTCAAAGTCTAATTTATGAACCTCTCTTTAGTGTGTTTGCGTCCAGAGCTTTTCGACAATTTTTGACAAAGTAACGTTTCTTGATGATAATAATCTCTTTAATACTGTGTATTTAAATGTATGTAGCAGATAATAGTCGATCCAAAATTATCGACTAATTGCTGTCTTATATTCACTTAGCTCGTGAATATTCCAAAATATGCTTAAAAAGGTTTTTCAACAGTCGTAATCTTCCACTCATCTTCCATTACAAACATTTTTGACCAGCTTTGTTTTTCCATAACCTTTTTTTACCTGTATGATATATTTGATTTCTAAGTTGTATTTCAGTCACTTATTCCTTCTCCAAATATCAGACGAGGTGAAAAATACACCGACCTATGCGGTAGTTCTCGGATTTTACACTATTTAGCTTCATAAAAGGTCGTGAGCTTTTTTAAGAGCATGTGAGCATATTAAATAGTTAAATACGTAGTCAGTTATAGCAAATTTATAACAAAACGTTATTTGCGTTGTTAGAAAATAACATGGTTCTGAAATTTGATCTGCAAAATACAAACACTGAGCGCTGTTTCTTTTCAATTATATCAATATTCAGCAAGTACATATTTGCCAAGTTTCTGGATCCGTGAGTGGTTTTTGTACAATCAATGTAGCAAGCTAACTATTTTTACAACTATGGATTAAGTGCTAGGTATACCTGTAGATGTTCTCGATTTCTCTTTCTGCATGTTACATTTTACGATCCACATTAGAAACATCTAACACCTGATCATTTTCATAGACTAGCAGCTTCTACTGGTTTTTTAGGGCCTGGGTTCGAGGAGTACTAAGGACAAGTGAGGTTTTAGACAAACTAAGTTGACCTATAGAATTAATGATCACTTTTGGTCGTAGGTAGTTTTTTTTATTACATTCTTTATCTGTCCAACAACCATTAATCATAAATGACTACTATAAATGGGACGATTTAAAAAAAAATTCACTGCAGTTTTATTTTAATTTAATGTTATATCGTTCTCTTTTTATCTTCTACAATTCCAAGAGATTAAATAAAACTGTCTCCTACGTTAAGGATGTCAATTAGTCTTCGTTACACCAGTGAAATGTTCTTTAATCTCAGTGCTTCATCATCAGTCGAAAAATTATGTATAATTTTATACTTCATTTTATAAAGTTCATTGTTTATTTAATATAGACTGAAAGAACGTTTCTAAATTCACTGTTTATCAATTATGTGATTAAAGACCTTGACTACTGTAGTTTTATTTTAGTGATAGGTTTTGATTGTAGATTAGTAAAAATGCTCAAACTGTTTGCTTTGTTTTTTAAATTGTTTTGAAGATCTTCATTACGAATATAAATTAGAAATGGAATACTTTTTATGTCATGTTTTTAGCATTCTTTAGTCCATCAATGTTATGACTGCTAAATATAATCTTTCCTCATACCCTGTTAATTTTACCAGTTGTATGTGAAGATTAGATGTCAAGGTTTTATCTTACTTTTTTGCTGTTATACTACCTACCAATTACTTAACATAATGTTGTTTATAATGAATTTCGTAGGAAGATTTTCTGATGCATTGGATCTATCATTTTTACTGCTTGATCACCCATCTTGGGCTGTATACCACGAACCTTGGCGCCTCTTACGGAAAAGTATATTATGCATCGGCAAAACAAAGTGGGTCAATTAAATTATATATAATTCATGGATTTTAGTAAAATAAAACAGTTCAGTTGTATGCAATTGTATCCATAAGCTGACATACTGCCACTTAAAATACTGCTTGATAAGGAAGGAAAATTTTAAATTACTGGCATTTATTAGTTGAAAGTTTTTACCGAAAATCATTGCAAAAACACCTGTTCGATCTAAAAACAGATTTTTGCATGTACAATACCAATTTTTTCTTATTTATAAAACTATCATCCAACAGTTTAAACAATTGAAGCTTTATTACGGGCAGTATTCGTTAACGTTGGGATTAATTGTGTGATGCTGGTTTGCAACGTCTATAAAATTATGTCCATCTGCTCACTTGGATTTTGTTACGTGGAAAAATTTTCCTAGTTGAAAAGTTTAAGGATTTTTCTAAAGGTTCTCACGCATGTTTTTTCTCAGTTCCACCTGGAAAGTAAGAAATCTCATTTTCCTGTATGTAATAAATTATCAGTGATACCTAGCTAGTCGTTTTAGTGGTAATGCAATGATCTTGTTCAGATTCTAGAATCCAAGCGGCATTTTCAGTGAGGTCTAGTGATATGAAAGGATTACTGAAATTGGGTGTTATAACTTGTGGCATGTGTGCCCTGTTAATGTATAACGTAATGATACCGCCAATTAGAGAGCAGTGAATTATCGATCGGACCAATGACGCATAAAATCCGTACGAGCAGTCTAGAGTACTTATCGGTCCTACTTCCTGCTTAGCCCAGCCGGTTAAGTCCAGAACACCAATCTCAGCCTCTACAATATGAATCATTTATTTCAAACATACTCAGTTTATATACCAACCAGACAGACCACATCGTACCAATAAAATAGGAAACAACACTTATACAAAATTTGGCCAAATGTGGGAGGTAGTAATTAGTCGTATAATAAATCAAAACAAGGCTCATAATAAGAGGGACATAAATATGAATAGTTTAGTTATTTAACAACTATACGATAAAAATATACTCATAGTACTGGTCCATAAATGGATCCGAAAAGTTACCATCCATTATGCTTATCGGGGCGTAATATTAGGGTAATTAAAGTGATAATGAGATCTGTTACAATGCTTGGAATTCGTGCTATACGTTAATAGTTTTAAAACTTATTCTCCATCTAAAAAAATCAAATACTTTGAAGTGGGTTTTTCCTAACAACTCATTTTATTGTTCGTCATGTTTTATTTCAGTTCCCAAGTTTCACGTGCATGGAATATGCGAAAATGGTATTGGAATAAACTGCAACTTTCTTTACCTAATTTACCTGTTATTGCCAAGTCTATGAAGTTATTGTTGAATAAACTCGATTTGACCGAATCGAATCAATGCGATGATGAGGAATCAAAACTGAATGATCGTTTAAATGTCGAATTAACAATTGTTACTAATATGAAACCAGTTATTTTTCCAGAGTTTTCCAATACAGACTTATCTTGATTTATATATATATATATATATATATATATATATATATATATATATATATATATATATATATATATATGCGTGTATATGTACTATATTAGAGCCATTTGAAATATAAATGCGCATTGACTATGGTGTGTGTAATTCATTTTAAACTTCGTTTATAACAAACATATAAGGCTATTTTAGAGGCTCTTCACGTCAAAAATTATTCTAGGGTAAGGTTATCAGACGGTCGCCATTATCTGTTCTTTGAGCCACGATGCTATAAGATCCACCTAGGTGTCTTTCCCTATCTCTTAGTTTACCTACTTGAGCATTAAAGTCACCGACCATTATTACTACATTAGAGCGCCTAGCTTTTCGGAGAAGATCGTAGAGCTTTCTGTAAAACTCATCTTTTGCATCATCTGTGCTGCAGTCAGTGGGAGAATAGGCAGAGACGACGGAGAGGCAATGACGAGTGTCCCTATCTTTCCAGATTCTTACTGTTCCGTTCAGTCGGACAGCGCACAAACGACTGTCTACTGGGATCCACTCTAAGAGGGCTAGTTCTGCCCTAGGACTCAATGCTATACCTACGCCGGCGAGGCTACGGGAAGCAGAATCAGGGCTTCCAGATACACGAAATGTGAATCGAGTCGGTTATTTATTTTGGCATGATGAGGTCAAGTGAATGACGCTACTCGGATCCTGTATGCGCGTTTCGGAGTCGCAGCACACATCGATGGCGCAAGATTCTAAAGTCCTAGCTAAGGAAGCCTGTTGTCCTATTTGGCATAGTGTTCAGACGTTAAAAGCTCCTACGTGTAGTTTAGAGCGTGGTTTCAGGAGACCAGGAATAACGTTCCGCGTACATGAATCGTTTGCTCGAGCGGTGGGAGGTGATAAAGAGACGTGAGGAGGGTTAGTTATGGAAATAAGAGAGGGATTAGGTGTATGAAGGATTTGAATGTGACCAACTTGGTCTCGTGTGTTGTTACGGGTGTGAGGGCTGGTGTCACTTCCCGGCTGCCCACACCGTGGAAGGGTATTTTTTGAGGAACCTGTAAAGGAAACTGGATTAGTGTTGGTCTTAAAGACCTGGGAGTGTGACCGCAGAGCCCAAGGAACAACTGCTTGAGGCCGGTCAAGCACGGCCTTTTCGTGGAAGGTTTTTAGTGTGTTAGCTCCGTTCTTCAAAGGGCCTTACCGCCGGAGACGGAAATCCGTGAGGTAAGGTGGGGTGTGACATTTTTAGTGTCGACCTTTTCTAACCCACCCTCCTTGTGGGAAGGCAGCATCGCTGTCATGCTGGTTGTTCGAGGGAAACACCTTACTGCTGTCACACCTCTCTACAGTCAGCAGTAGGACTTCCCCCTCAGACCTTGAGTTGCTGCTTTTAGTCTTACCGTTCTCCAATCGACCTGCCTGGCATGGTAGAACCTACAGGAACATATGTTCCAGCCAATATAGCTCGGTTGAGTCATCACGATAGGCAAGCCCGACCACCGCGTCAAGGTAGCATCTTCGGTCGGGATATGAATAGTTTAGTTACTTAATAATTATACAGTAGAAATATACGTTTATTATTGGTACGTAAATGGATCCCAAAAGTTACCATCCATTATTCTTGTCGGGACATAACACCGTTAAAACGTTTACAGTTCTACTGGTTCGTTCTACACAATCTAACTCAGAACTCTAAAGATCGTAAACACGTTAATTAAGTTTTACGTAATTTTCATTCCGTTTACTGGTTATTAGTCTTTTGACCAACTGAATTAACTAACAATTTTGGATGCTCCGGGAATTTATATATTGTATTTTACCTAATCAGGGTTACTTTCCAACATACCATCTTAACTAGCTAGATGTATATGTAACTTTTCCGTCTATATGATTACCTGTAGTATCCCATTGGCTATGATTTATTTAAAACAGCAATGTAATTGTCAGCGCAAAAGCTAATTCTCAAGTTGCTTTTACAAGGAAAAATGTAGCTAGTGTAATTGAATACAATCAGATTGTAATTTAACCGGGGAACCCACATTATTAGTCTTCGGATATTTGAGTGCTCACTTTAAATAGGATTAAACAAATCATTTCATTTGGAAGTATTATTCGCACTCGATGACTGTTATTCCGAAAACACTTTCTTATTACTAACAAACTATAGTAGTATGTTTCTCAAAAAGAGGTTTCATGAGTTCCAAAAGTGAACCTATATTTTGGTAAGTAATACTTCGTTTCTCTTTGTAAGATCTTTCCATTTTTCTAAGCATTAGTCTAATTCTGTTTACGTGCTAAGCAAAATCTTTAAATTAAATATGCTAATGACAGTGTGATCAGTACGTGTTATCCAGCCACCGCCGCTTAATTCTGATTGGTTGTTGTATGTTTAAGCTAATATGCAAAAAAGCTTAATCCGTGATTTTATACTTTCATAACACTCATCTGCGAAGTACAACACGAAATTATTGTGTTCCGAATGACTGACTTGAAATACCTCACAATTAGATCTGATCACTAATTCACCAATTATAACGATTATTTTACGGAACAATTTGGTGAATTACATTGTCAGTTTCGGTTTATAAACTCCCGTGCAACTATTATTATAAAGTTTAGCATTCTTTAGTAAAATTCATTCACCATTTCTATAATGGCTAGCTTTCCCTTTATAATCCAGAATAATATAAGTGATTAAGATATCAAAACTTAGTAAAAGGTAATTTAAAATTGGAGGTAAAATACAAAACAACCGAATAAAATTGTTTCGTAGGCAATGATATAAAGACCTCTTAATTCAGTCCCATTTAGTTATCCCGTCATCCTTACAACAACAATCCAAAACGAACCAAAAAAACCAGACAAGTATAGTAAAACCAATCACTTTGTTTTGATAAAAATTCTGAATAACTAATTTCCGCTTCATGAATGATAATTTACTTCATGTCTTCATAGTGTAAATATTTCTACTCGTTAGAATTTATAAATTACCATGTATCTATTTCCTAAGTTTGATTTTTATGTTAGAATTTGATACGAAATGTGAGTTCATTTTACAGAATGACTTAATTTGACAAGTCATGTTGACTGCTTTCAATATTCTTTATGGTTGGATTTTGTTCATAAATAAAATTAGCATCTTTTGATGTGATTTTTATAATTTAGAAACAATTTACTACTCAATATTGAATAAATAATTTCCATATTATAGTGAAGGATTTCATTTGATAGAAAATCACTTACTCAACAAATATTTCGCAAACTAATATGCATATATTTCAATCTCAATTTAATTTATATTGCAACCTTAGAGAAGATCAGATATCAGTTAGTAATTATAATGTTGTGTTTCATAACTGATCACTAAGATGCAGTACCATCTCATGTCAATACTAGAATGTCATGACATTTAGTGTTCTTGTCTATAGTACTTTAAAGTAAACTTAAATGAATACTATTTTTATTTCGGTCTTAGAAAGTCATCAAACAGAGTTATATCGGATAAACAAACATTGCCAGTTTGTTTCAGTTTCTATATGACTCGTAGATGTCTTCTGTTAGACTAGTTTGGGCACGTGATAAATACGATCCACAAATCATCAATGAAACCTAGTTTTTTCAACTTCTATGCTTTTGTCACGCAGTTTACTGGGTTGACACTTTTTATAAAAGTATCTAAACTTGCTAGTCGACACTACGTGAATGTTGACCTTGTTAAACCGGGAAAAAGAACTATATACCTATACTAATCAGATATGAAGCAATCAAACACAGACTAACGGTTAATCATACAGCAATTCAACCGTGAATATCTACAATAAGTATTAATTAGGCCACTTCTCAACCCTACTTTCTCAAATGAAATTCGTACTCAGGATTCCGAAAGTGATGTGTACTCCTGATCTTGTAGTATAACATAGCAGAAGGAACGTTTCGAAATACAGTCAACTTTTTGAAAAGTAGGTCGTCTCTATATCTTCAATTGAAATCTCTAGCTGTTTGACGACATTTGACTTATTTTCATAATAGTGTCACAAATATGAATCCAGAAAGCTAGTCTATAAATAAATCACATCTAGATTATCATAGAACAAGAAAACAAGGCAAACTGTTATATTGAGAAAATCCGAAAATGTATATGTTATTTACATCAAGTTAAACTTAGAAATTGTTTATTATGGCAGTTGTAAATTCCAAGTTTTGGTGCGTTAATTTATGACTATCCGATGTTTCAAATTGAGGAATAAACTAACGTCGTTGGAAGCAGAGACAAACGAGGAATTCCAGTATACCAATTTTCATAACTGTATCCCATTGAGTAGAAAGAGAAATATTATTCACTCTTTATCCTCAAGGATTAGGTGATTATGTTCCAGTGATACAAAAGATGACGGACTACTCCAACTTTAACAGATACTCATCAGAAATGGTTATCCACCTTGATTCATCGATAAGAACCTAACACCTGGACAACATTTCGAAAAAGCACGAACAGTTCGAAAGAAAACTTTATATGAATATCGAGTTTAAAGGAGATAAGGCTGCTGAAATCTTGAATAAATAGATTTTCAAATCCTCGAATAAATACTTCTACTCAGCTAAGCTCCGCATTGTCTTTTCAAACCGTTCACGGATGTGTTAAGCATAAACTTCCACGTTGGGTCACATCGATGTTTATCTATAGGTTTATTTGCTCCTGTGGGCAGGTTACGCTGGTCGCACAAAGCCATCACTTTCTAAACGTGTCTCAGAACATTACCCGGAGTGGCTTTTAAAAGGAGAAGGCAAAACAGTTACTAGTTCAATACAAGACTTAATGTTTCGCCATATCTGTCAAGTGGACAATTATCTTCCATAATTTGACCCTTAAACTATTTTCATCCTTCCAGTCTTATCTAACACCCTGATTATCACGTAACCTATTTGATAATTGGAGTATCGACTCATTTAATGATGCAATCCTTTCTATCCTTCTATAGACATTTATTTACCATATAGCCATAAATACGAAAGTACAGCTT